TATATCTAGACCAATATAATCCAGCAGAAATATAAAACAAGCCACAAATATGAACTATATATATACTGTGAAATTTTCTAGTGGTGCCGGTGCCGCGGCTCACTAGGCTAATACTACGCCTTGGGGCGCCAGCACACCGGGTTCTAGTCCTGGTTGGGGCGCCAGATTCAGTCCCGGTTGCCCCTCTTCCAGGCCAGCTCTCTGCTGTGGCCAGGGAGTGCAATGGAGGATGGCCCAAGTGCTTGGGCCCTGCACCCCATGGGAGACCAGGAGAAGTACCTGGCTCCTGCCATTGGATCAGTGTGGTGCACCGGCCGCAGCGCGCCAGCCGCGGCGGCCATTGGAGGGTGAACCAACGGCAAAGGAAGACCTTTCTCTCTCTCTGTCTCTCTGTCTCACTGTCCACTCAGCCTGTCAAAAAAATAAAAATATAAATAAATACATATAAAAAATAAAAAAAAGAAATTTCTAGTGGTCACATTTAAAAATTTAAAAAGAAACAAGTTAAATTAACTTGAATAACACATTTTATTTAATTCAATAAATGCAAAATATTATTCCATCTTGTAATAGATATAAAACAATACTGCTTTACTACTTTCTACATCTAATGAGATGATGGTGATTTTTGTGTTTTATTCTGTTAATATAGTGTATGAGTGTATGACATTGGTTGAATTTCAGATGTTTTAAAAATTTTATTTATTTGAGAGAAAGAGAGAGACAGAGAGGTATAGACAGAGAGAAAGATCTTCCACCCGCTGGTTCACTCCCTAAGAATTTCAGATTTTTTAATAACAGATTTATTTATTTATTTGAAAGTCAGAGTTACACAGAAAGAGAAGGAGAGGCAGAGGGAGAGAGAGACAGACAGAGAGAGAGAGAGAGTTCTTCCATCCGCTGGTTCACTCCCCAGTCAGCTGCAATGACTGGAGCTGCACCAATCCAAGGCCAGGAGCCAGGAGCCAGGAGCCTCCTCCAGGTCTCCTGTGTGGGTGCAGGAGTCCAAGGACTTGGACCATCTGCTACTGCTTTCCCAGGCCACAGGAGAGAACTGGATCGGAAGTGGAGCAGCTGGGTCTTGAACCTGTGTCCATATGGAATGCCGGCACTGCAGGCAACAGCTTAACCTGCTATGGCACAGTGCAGGCCCCAAATTTCAGATTTTTAAGCAACCTTTCATTCCTGGAGTAAATTCCTCTTAGTCATGGTGTATAATCCTTTTTATGTGTTTTTGGATTTGGATTGCTAATGTTGTGTGAGGATATTTGCAGGTATATTCATAGGGCATATTAGTCTGTGATTTTATTTTTCTGGGGATATTTTTGTCTGGTTTTGTTATCAGGCTAATCAATACTAGCCTCATAGAATGAATTGGGAAATGTTCTTTTCTCCTGTAATTATTGTTTGTAATTATATTCAATCTTCTTTAAGTGTGAGGTAGAACACACCTGTGAAGCCATCTGGGTCTGGGCTTTTCTTTTTGGAAAGTCTGAAACTTTCTAATTAAGGTGCAGACATTGTGGTGCAGCTGATTAAGCAGCGGCTTGGGACGCCTGCATCTCATATTTCAGTGCGTGGGTTTGAAATCCTGGCTGCTCCACTTCCAATTCAGCTCCCTGCTGATGCATCCTGGGAGGCAGCACATGCTGGCTCAAGTGCTTGGACACCTGCCACTCACATGGGAAACCTGGATTGAGTTCTGAGCTCCTGGCTTCTGGGTGTTGCAGACATTTGGGGAGTGAACCAGCAGGTGGAAGACCCCCCCCCACCCTTTTGTCCCTCCCCCAGCCCCCGTTACTGCCTTTCAAGTAAATGAAAATTAGTAAACATTAAAAAATAAAATTACCATTTAATCTCTTGTTATAAGCTTATTCATATTTTTGGTTCTTATTTCAGTTCAACTGTTTGTTTATCTGGGAATATGTCCATTTCATCTACGATATCAACTTTTTTGGCATACAGTTGATCATTGTGTTCTCTTAGAAAACTTTCTATTTTTGTGAATTTGTTACTGAAGATCCCTTCTTTACTTCTGATTTTAGTAACTGGAGTCCTCTTTTTTCTTGTTCAACCTAGCTGAAGGCCAACCAATTTTGTTGAATTTTTCAAAGAAATAACTGTTGGTTTCACTGATGTTTGGTGTTATTTCTGTTCTCTATTTCAATTACTTGTGCTCTAATCTTTGTTATCTTCTTCCTTCTGATTAGTTTGGTTTCAGTTTATTCTTAGGCTATTTTCTTAAGGTGGAAGTTCAGGTTACTCATCTGAGATCCTCTTAATTTTAAAGAATAAGCCTTATAAACCTAAATTCCCCTTGATTACTACTTTAGCTGCACCTCAAAAGTTTTGATATGATGCGTTTTTGTTTTTATTCATCTCAAATTATTTTAAAATTTACCTTGAGTCATTTCTTTTCTTTTGTGAGCTGTTTGTTATTTAGAAAGGTTTAATTTTCACATATTTGTAAACTTCTCAAATTTGTTTCTGATGGGGCAAGTGTTTTGCACAGCAGTTAAGATGCCATTTGGGATGCCTATGGGTTCTGATTCCACCTTCCTGCTAATGCACACCTTGTGAGGTAGCTGATGATGGCTCACATAATTAGGTCCTTGCCACACACATCGGAGACCTGGACTGAGTTCCAGGCTCTTGACTTCTGCCTGACCCTTTCCTGGCTTTTACAGGCATTTAGGAAGTGAACCAGCAGATGCAAGATTTCTCTCTCTCTCTCTCTCTCTCTGAAATAAAAAATAAATAAGTAAATAAATACATTTAAATTAATTTAAATTTAAATTTAAACTTAAATTTAATGTACATTTAAATTAATTTAAATTTAAATTTAAATTTAATGTACATTTAAATTAATTTAAATGTAAATTAATTCTATTATTGTGACTTGTAATTTCATTCCATTGTGGTCAAAGAACATACTTTGTGTGGTTAAATTCTTAACTTCATTGAAGTTTTTTTCATAGCCACTTAACATATTCTTTGTCATGAAGAATTTCCCTTTTACACTGTATGTTGTTAATTAAAGTGTTTATAGATCTGTTACATTTAGTCACTTTATGGTGTTGTTCATCTTCAAGTCATCTGTTACATTTTTGGTCTTCTTCCTAATTACTTTATCCATTATTGAAACTGATTTATTGGCATTTCTGAACATTACTGTTGAATGCTCATTCTCCCTTTAATTTATGTATTTTACTTTGTCTTTCCAGAGACTGTGAATTGCATTCATGTTTATAATTGTTTTATATTCCTAAGAAATAATCACTCTATCATTATGTCCTTTTTTGTTTATAGTAGCAAATTTTACCATAAAGTCTGTTTTGTCTGATATTAACATCACCACTCTAGCTCTCTTTTGGATAACTTTTGTATGGTATATAATATTCTATTCTTTCACTTTCAATTTACTTTTATCTTTGAATCTAGTGTGTTCTTTGTAGGTAGCATAAATTGGATCATGTTTGCTCCATTCCAACATTCTCTGTCTTTTGTCTGGAAAGAGATACACATTTTTATTAGAGAAATGACTCAGTTAACTATGTCATAAACTGTTTATTCATTGTTTTACTATGAACTAGTGTGAATGAACATACTAACATTTCTTTTAATTGATGAGATTCTTTGTCTTAGATATATTATTTTAACTTTGTGTTATTTTTAGAATCTTATAGAATTAATTTTTAATTACTTATCAGTGTTTTTCTAATATCTCTTACAATGTATATTAGCACATTTATTTGAACTTAAAAATAAAGGTAGAATTTTTTTTCTGGAGAGAAGTGTGATTTGGCTACACTGGTTTGCAAGTCATAGATATGGTATATAATGTTTTCCATAAATTGAACTAAATGTTAAGCTCCAATATTTTGATTTCATATATATGTGTAAAATACAAAAGGAAAATAGGATACAAATGTTAACTTATGAGACCGCTGAAGACAGAAACTAGAGCTCATCGATTCTTCAACAGCCTCAAAGCCCATACATACTGAAGAGAAAGCCACTAAAAATATGCTTGCTAGATCATTCCCTAGTTTTTATGGAAGACTTCCTAGGTTCTGGGCATTGTTCTAAGAGCCGTGCTGGTGCCATTCCATTGCATGATTTATAGTAACTATTAGTTAATATTATGCTCAGCTTAATTCTATAGGTAAGGAAACTGAAACATGAAGTTGTTTAGGGTCACAACGAATGACATCCTGCATTTAAACTCAAGAAGTCTAACTCCAGAGGCCACTGGGCACCAAATTCCTGTGCTGTAGAATGGAGTGAATGGAGTCGAGTGGCATCCTTTCAGCACTTGACAGCTTAGTGCTGGTTCAAAATCAGGTCTAATATCCCCAAAGGGGGAAGGTGCTGTGGAGCAGTGTGTTAATCTGCCATCTGCAGAGCCAGCACCCAATATGGGCACCGGTTTGAGTCCCAGCTACTCCACTTCCAACCCAACTCCCTGCTAATGTGCCCGGGAAAACAGTAGAAAATGGCCCAAGTCTTTGAGCCATTGAACCCACATAGGAGACCTAGAAGAAGCTCCTGGCTTCTGGCTTCAGTCTGGCCCAGCTCCAGTCATTGCGGCCATTTGGGGGATAAACCAGTGGATGGAAGATATCTCTGTTTCATCCTCAAAGTAATTTCGTGATATAGAGGGGCAGTATTGTTATCCATATTTGATTGGTGAATAACTGATAGTTAAAGTGAAGTAAATCCATGAAGACACAAGTCAGTAAGCCGTAAAACCACTGTCTTTTGAGTTATGACTGCCTGTTCTGTTCACTAACTCTTGTGTCCCTTGTGTCCAACTGTCTGTCTTATTGTTTAGCAGCACAAAATGACTGGTTCAGTGGCTGGAGGAAGAATCTGGAGAGAGGGTCTGGACAAAGCAAAAAGACCTTTTGGAAGGCAGCTATGCTCACCACTATACCACCAATGCCTGCCGCCAAAAAGACCTTTTGATCAACAGTACTTACTTCCTTGAAGGACTTAAGAACCTGGTTCTGGTAAGAATATAAGATGTATTGAAACTTTTGTGAATTTGAACACAGTATCTTTTATTCATAATCAAGAATGCTCCAAACTGGGGCAAGCTTTGTGGCACAACACTTGAGCCATGGTTGGGATGCCTACATCGCGTATCATGGTGTCTAGGTTCAAGTCCCACCTCCACTTCTGATTCAGCTTCCTCATAATGTGTACCCTTGGAGGCAGTGGTGATGGTTCAAGTGCATGGGTCCCTGCCACCAATGTGAGAGACTTGGATGGACTTCCTGGCTTCTGGCATTGGCCTGGCCCAGTTGTGGCTATTGTGACATTTGAGGAGGGAACCAGTAGATGAAAGATCTCTCTCTCCTATCCTACATTTCAAATAAATAAATAAATACACTTAAAATAATAATACTCCAAATGTGTGAAAAATGGTTTGTTGATTTTAAATTTAAACTGAAGGTAATCTATTAACAGCTTATTTGTTCATCCTTGTTAGTTATAACCTGGAATGATTCCTTAGACATCGCGTCAGGGATCCCCAAGGTCTAAGGGCCCCAATCTCTTTGGAGCCCTTTGCAGTTCATTTACTGAGAAAATGAGATTTGCCCTTCTAATGGGAGACTGGAAATGAGAATGGTGATTTTCTGTAGGTGTTGGTTAAATCTAATCTCCAAGTGCACACAGATTGTTCTTTGATGACTTAGTCTTCTTAGGAAAGGCTCCCAAAAGAGTCAAAGGAACTGAAAATGAGATGGATAATAAGTTTTATACTTGTGTTCAGTTCATGCTAGTTTAGAGAAAAATGTACCAGTCCACCTGACAGATATTGCCTTGCTTGAAATTTATGAATCTTAGGCAAGGGTGCCCTGCCATTTCTCTGCCATTACAGAAGATGAGTTATCTTGTCAAGTTTCTCCATTGCTAATATAGACTCAGAAGCAACCAGCACCACAGAAGAGTCATAGAAGAGAATTCTGTTTTATAAGTTAAGTGTAGACTTGATTATCTGTATAGAATGTAAAAGTAAAGTCTCTATGTGGCAAATATACTTAGTCCCTTGACTTCTAAGATAAACAATGTCATGGGAATTAAAACAGAGATTGCTGCATTTTTTCTGTTTACTGAAAGAAAGAAGGACAAAAGAAAGAAGGATGGAAGGGAATTCAGTAATTCTTGCCTATGCTATTAACTATTAATATTTATATAGGAATTGCTAACAATGCATAATGTAAAATACTAACATTAATTTAATTCCATGTGTAAGTCATTATTATGAACATTAAGTCCACTGGACTTTGATAAGTGCTATTATGGTCCTTGTTTCACAAGTAAGTGAACTGAGACACAGGAGTGTTAGGAAGTTTGCCTTAAACCACAGAGCTATTGGTGGAGCAGGGCCCCTGAGCTCTTGCTCTTAATCCACTGTGCTGAAATTGTTGTGGGTCTCAGAATTTTGTCTCCACTACACTGGAGAAGACTCCCAAGAAATAGTGGCAGTTTAGAAGGTCTTTGAATGATTGGAGTAAATGTAGATAAATGGGAAGTCAGAGCACTTGTAAATGAACGCACCCTCTGCGGCTTGGGAGAGTTCTTCCCTTTGTCTCAGACCTGTGAATCTTGCTGAAATGTGGAGCAGCATCTATGCAGTGAGGACAGGATGGTACAATAGGGCAACTGACAGCTGAGTGCTAGAATGCTTGGCCTGTTAACCTTACAGAAACCAGAGGCCATAGATTCCCATGGATGCAGGTATGCCCTTCCCGACCAAACATGATACAAATGGATGCCTTTCCCTCTTTCCTCCTTCTCGTCCTTCCAGTGCAATTAGTTAACTCTGTGTCAGGTGCTGAAGATGGAAGAAATATGTGAATAAATAAGACAGATGTCCCTTGTCCTTTAAGGACACTCAACCATGGTTTTTAAAATGTTCATAGGATAAATAGGCACAAAAGAGGGAGTGATTATGTTAACCAGAGACAATGGGAAAGGCCTAATGGAAGAGGTTAGTATTTGAGCTGAGCCTCAAAAGATGGGTAAGTCAGGGACAAAATGGTCAGGGCAGAGTGGTAAAAGTATTCTAAGAAGAGGGATAACAAGAACCCAAAAGACTGGAGGAGGATGTGTTAGGCAAGTGAAAGGAGAGTGGCCTGCATGGAGCAATGCGTGAAGTGCCACCATTTGAATAAGCCCAGAGAAGTAAGTGAAGACCAGTCCAGGCTAGACAGAGAAAGATCCATTACTGAAAGTCCACCTCCAGGATCTAAACCCAGTATACCACTTGTGTATATTTGTGTTTCAAAAATTCCTTGCAGTTGATCAAATATCTGAGCTTTAGGGCTTCAGGGTACCAGACACTTCGATTAATACATTCCATTGTGTCTTACACAGGTCCTGATGAGGTTAACAGGTCATATTCTTCAGTGACAGATGGCTAGTATGAGCTGAGGATAATATTTGATAGATTTAGGCCTCTGCTTTAAGGCTAAACCATGTTTTACTCACAATTCGCACAAAACTTTTTACTATATTTGTTGTTCAGTTTTAATTTAGTGTAAAAATATGTTACTTAAATTCAATAGTAGTGACTAATAAACTTCATTCCAAATACTCCCTTCAAGTTAAAAAATAAAGATATATCCTGCTTGCTATATTCTAGGCATTGTTCTGAGAATTTTACAAATATGGAATCCTCTGATCCTTTAACAGCATAATGAAAGGTAGACACCATTATTGTCCATATTTTTTAAATGAGGAAACAGAAGTTGAATAACTTGCTTGAAGTTGTAGAGTGTGGTAGAACTGGACTCAAGTGCTGAAAATGTACTCCAGAGAGCTTAGACCATCCTTTTTCCTGATTAGCATTTATCTGCTCTTGTAATCTACTTGCATTTTTTCCAGACTAAACTACTAGACAGATTTTAAAATTTTGAGCACTTGTTTACAATTGGCTTCATACTGCACTATACAAATACAATTCACAATATACACATATCACTCACCTATATTTTATAATTGATATTTTTTATAGATCAGTAGTTTTCAATCTTAGATACATGCTAGAATCATCTAGGGTGTTTTTAAGAAAATATTATTGGCTTGAGTCCCTCCTCCAGAACTTCCAATTTATTGGTTTGGGTGAAGCCTGGACATCAGTATTTTTAAACCAACCCAGGTGGTTCTAAAAGTCACCCAGGGTTGAGAACCACTGAGACAGATCAAATTATTTGTTGTTGTTTTAAGTACTGTGCTATGCGTTTTACACACATATTGTCAGCTCACATGACAGCCTGATTAGATAGGCTATAATTATTTGTGTTTTACCGATGAGGAAATTGAGGAGCAAAGGGGGTATATAATTTTCCCAAGTTCACACAGCTGATAAAGAGTAGAACAGAATTATGGGGTGAAACCACATTTTCTTAATTATAACCACCATGCACACCACAGCATAAAAGTTAATTAATCTACTGAGTCATAAATTAACTTATTACTCTTCAGGAATATATTTATTTTACAGTAGATAATAGGACTGTTAAAATATGAATAAATTAATCAATTTTTCATTTAGTTTCTTAAAAATATATTTTGAGCTAAATCATGTAAATATAACTTTTTTTTTTTAACTTTTATTTAATGAATATACATTTCCAAAGTACGAATAATGGATTACTATGGCTTCCCCCCCATACCGTCCCTCCCACCCACAACCCTCCCCTTTCCCACTCCCTCTCCCCTTCCATTCACATCAAGATTCATTTTCGATTATCTTAATATACAGAAGATCAGCTTAGTATACATTAAGTAAGGATTTCAACAGTTTGCTCCCACACAGAAACATAAAGTGAAAAATAATAGATGATTTTTTTTTAATGATGATGAAATCAGATCAGACCTATTGTCATGTTTAATCCCAGTGAGAGTCAAGTTGGGAGTTGATAGTTTCTTTTTTTTTTTTTTTTTTTAACAGAAGGATCAGTTTAGTATGCATTAAGTAAAGATTTCAACAGTTTGCACCCCCATAGAAACACAAAGTGAAATATATTATTTGAGTACTCGTTATAGCATTAAATCTCAATGCACAGCACATTAAGGACAGAGATCCTACATGAGGAGTAAGTGCACAGTGACTCCTGTTGTTGACTTTACCAATTGACACTCCTGTCTATGGCATCAGTAATCTCCCTATGCTCCAGTCATGAGTTTCCAAGGCTATGGAAGCCCTCTGAGTTCTCCGACTCTTATGTTGTTTAGACAAGGTCATAGTCAAAGTGGAGGTTCTCTCCTCCCTTCAGAGAAAGGTACCTCCTTCTTTGAAGACCTGTTCTTTCCACTGAGATCTCACTCACAGAGATCTTTTGCCAGAGTGTCTTGGCTTTCCATGCCTGAAATACTCTCATGAGCTTTTCAGCCAGATCTGAATGCCTTTAGGGCTGATTCTGAGGCCAGAGTGCTATTTAGGACATCTGCCATTCTATGAGTCTGCTGAGTATCTCACTTCCCATGTTGGATCACTCTCCCCTTTATTTATTCTATCGGTTAGTGTTAGCAGGTACTAGACTTGCTTATGTGCTCCCTTTGACTCTCAGTCCTTTCATTATGATCAATTGTGAACTGAAATTGATCACTTGGACTAGTGAGATGGCATTGGTACACCTTGATGGGATTAAATTGGAGTCCCCTGGTATGTTTCTAACTCTACCATTTGGGGCAAGTCAGCTTGAGCATGTCCCAAATTGTACATCTCTTCCCTCTCTTATTCCCACACTTATATTTAACAGCAATCACTTTTCAGTTAAGTTTCAACACTTAAGAATAACTGTGTATTAATTACAGAATTAAACCAGTCATATTAAGTAGAACAGACAAAAAAACTACTAAGAGGGATAATGTATTAAGTTGTTCATTAACAGTCAGGGCTATGCTGATCAAGTCACCGTTTCCCATAGTGTCCATTCCACTTCAACAGGTTTCCTTTTTGGTGTTCAGTCAGTTGTCACCGATCAGGGAGAACATA